TTACGTGAATAGAGGCGGAAATGTCCGCCTCATGTATGTGCCGAACGCAAGCCGCAAGGGTTAGGGAGTTGTTTTAGAAGGATTTCTCAGGGATTTGGGAGGGAAATTTGAATATAGGAATTGTTTAGAGATTTCCTTTTGAATTGTATGCATTAAATAGTTGGTTTTCCTCGGGTTAGGGCATCATTAATTTGGCTGAAATTTGAGATCTCTTTGTTTCTTTGGGCTCTAGCGACGTATAGAGATTTGGGAGAGAAAGATCCTCCTCTCGAATAGAGGATCAATTGTATCTTGGTATTTTCTGTTTCCCTTTCATCAAATAATACAAATTATCTACTGTTTTGTGGTTTTGTGTGAATTTTTGTGGAGAATTCTCGCTGTTTTCTAAATTTTGATAGGAAATACTTGAGATCTACAAGTGTTTCCTATCATAATTTCATGTATAAGTTGGCCACTCCACTCCAATTTTGCCATTTAATTGGGTTTTTTAAATGGCTATCACAACACATGATTTATAATGGCTAATACAACACATAAATTCAATAACACTTTCAAATACTTTATTACTACATATTAGACAATACATTCGCATAAAGACTAACAAATAGTCTGATTCTTGAGCCATTGTTCTAGTGAAGCCCTCCTAGACTTGGATATTGTAATTGGACACCCTTCTATTGATTAGCATGATGTGCTACATCAATTTTCTTGGACCCAAAAGAACTCTTATTTGAAGAGTTGAAATCCAAGTAGTCATCTGCAAACTATGGTGCTAGCTTCTCCAAATCACATCTAGTGAAGCCCTCCTAGACTTGGATATTGTAATTGGACACCCTTCTCTTGATTAGCATGATGTGCTACATCAATTTTCTTGGACCCAAAAGAACTCTTATTTGAAGAGTTGAAATCCAAGTGGTCATCTGCAAACTATGGTGCTAGCTTCTCCAAATCATATCTGTAAGCTAAGTGTCATTAGGGTGTGGCTTGTCTCTTCATCTCAATTGACTGCATTCAATAAAAATCCATAGAAGTATAATCGGTTACATTCTTCGAGACCTCTTCTAAAAAACCTATAAAAACTATCTAAAAGATGGTTGGAAAAAGCTTTCTCAAACCCTACTAAATACTTTTTAAATATTATCCAAGGTCTAGAATAGGAAAAACTTACCTCCAAATTAGGTTAAATTAGGTAGAATGCTTAGTTGGGCCACATAGGCATCAGGATATCTATTTCTAGGCTAAAAAAATGCTTTTAAGTACTTGGTTCCTGGGTGTCACGCCAAGCACCTGGGCACTAGAACTAGGCATCATTTTCTATTTTCTTGATGAAAACTTTTGAATTGCAAGCCTTAGCACCAGGAATGGGCGCCTGGGCTCCTAAAACCTCAAATTACATCGGCTTGGTCACGTGATGCTCGAGCTAATCCGAATTGCTCATTTTGCATTTCACATACGTGAAACTGATCAAAATTCATGCTCACCTGCATTATTTGAAATAATTTCATCAGTTTCACAAATTTATAAATTTAAGCCAGTAAATGCATAAATTAAATAACTAAGTCCTCTTAAACTTGCATAAAATCATGTCTATCAAACGCCCACACTTAGGTCTTTGCTCATCCTTAATCAAAGAAACCAAAGGCGATGGATCTGGAAATTAAGGTAGATAAATGGAAACACTGCTTGCATACTAGCTATATTGGAGGTTGTTAGATTACAATAATTGATGTTATCAGACGTTGTAAGAAATATTTTAGTCAGTTTATGAACGGTTTTGTCATTCCTTTCCATACTTGATTGAGTAGTGGTCTTATAGTCTAATCACTTTCTGAATTTTATACCACTATAACTGCTTGAACATCTCCTAAATATTTTGTACAGCTCAAAATTTTTGTCTGAATGATCACTAAATAGTAAACCTGCTTTGACGAGTTCTTGATAGATAATGTGGAGTGTTATGAAGGAGAATTATATGCCAAAACATTGTTTCCTATTCTATTCGGTTGGGACAGCTTTCATCCCATTATCTGTCAAAACATTTTATTGTTTCCTTTTCTATTAAGGCCTTGTTTGATTCTCTGTAATTTCTCTGTCTGCGGTTTGAATCAGCGAAAAAAGGGTTGTTTTGCTGTTTGGTAACACTGCTTCTTCAAAATAACGTCCGGTGAACCTCCGTATTTCCGCTGATTTGAGAAGAAATTTTTTTCTCCATTTGCCGTTCTGAAAGCTCCGTTAAAAACGAGAAAATAGAGCGGGGAATCAAACGAGGACTAAGTTTGGCATTGCTTACAGAGTTTAGTATTGCTCATTTTATATTTTTGTTTCTGTTTACATATAGAGAACTTCTATTATACAACCATACAACAACAACAACAACATCAAGCCTTTATCCCACTACTTGAGGTTAGCTACATGAATTCTTTTCTCCATTGTGTCCTATTGAAAGTCAAATTCTTGTTTAAATCTAATAAAGAAAGATCATTTCTAATATTTTCTAACTAAATCTTTTTCTGGTATGTTACCTTTCTTAACATAAGTCAAATCTAATACCTCTACTTTCCTAACCACATCATCAGAAGGCCGCTATGTTATGTGACCAAACCATCTAAGGCGGCTCTATCTTATAGGGGTGTCAATATTGGACACGACCCGAACATGACACGAAAATTTCGGGTTCAGGTTGACCCGAACCCGAATCGGGTTGGGTTCGGGTTAGAGTTTTCGTACGTTTACGAAATCGGGTTGGGTTCGGGTTGACCCGGAAACCCGGAAATGACCTGCTGACCAAGCTGCCCGGTTGACCACCGCTACCCATGGCCAATCCCGTGTGGCCACGTGACCCCCCCGCTTGCCCGCTGACCGAGCTGCCGCGTGACCAATCACCGCTGCCATGCCCCGATCCCACCCCTGCCCCACTTGCCCGCCGTTGCTCGTCAGCTCGTGGCCAATCACACTATCGCCCCGACTCGCCCACATGCATGCGTGTCCCGAGGTCCGCGTGACCGTGTCCAGCCATCTAGGCCCACTTGCGAGCTAGCCGAGCTGGCCAGCTTGCCTATTGTCGTGTCCAGGCCCATGCCCACGTGCTCGCGTGTCAAGGACCTCTAGGTCCAGTTGTCCAGCCACCGGCGTCCCGCCTCCCATGTTGAGACCCGCTTTTGGGTCATGTCGGGTTGACCTGAAGCGTGTCGGGTTCGGAAAACTAACCTGCTTGTAAAAACGGGCCGAGTTCGGGTTGACCCGAATAATATTGGATCAGTTTCGGATTCAACCTGAACCCGACCCGTGACCCGAAATTGACACCCCTAATTGCTACCATTACTAATCTCATTTCTATTTTTATCGACATCCTTTGATACATGAAATTTTCGTCATTTCGATTACTCGCTCTAGGATTTATGAACTAAAATGCAAACCGTCTATCACTTAAATTGC